GACAACCCTCTTGCTTTGTATTGCCAGCATTTAACATAGGGTCCCACAGGCGTAGCCGTGCACTTTCTAAGCATTCATGGACTACCCATCACATGCCAAGTGCCAGGTTAGACTCTGGGGTTACAGAGAGGAATAAATTCCAAAACTCACGCTGCTCACAGACTAATGGGGAGGCTACAGACATAAATAGGTAAGAGCAACACTATGCAATCAATAATTTCCATAACAGAAATAAGAACCAGTTGCAGCAGAGGCATTGACAAGCACTCATTTCATGCTATATGGAGTAGAGCTGGGGTAGGTTTCACTGAGAAGGTCATGCTAGAGTTGGGTGTTGGAGGATGCATAGGAATTTGCCTGACCAAGTGAGGTAGGAAAATTCTAGATCAGAAGGACGAAAATGGAAAATGATACAGAAGCATAAAGCACAAGAAGGTTCAGAGTACTATGATGGGTCCTTCTCTCAGGTAGGTATTTCTGATGAAGCATGTGGTCATCAGAGGAAAGATGAAGATAGCGACCGGGAAAAACCGATAGAAACCACACCACGAAGGACCTCGGGTGCCATGTTAGGTGACTCGCATTGTATTCTCTGAGCTACTGAATGGCACTGAAGAAATCTGAGGATAACGATGTAATCTGAAGCTATCTAAAGCATCCTGAGAATAATGATCACAACCTGATTTTTTAAAAACCATTCACCCACCAAGCAACAAGCTGGAACATCCATACCATGGAATACCACTCAGCAATAAAAAGGAATGAACTATCAAAAAAAGGGGGGGGAATGAACTATTGAGACATGCAACAATTCAGATGCATCTGAATTATACAGGGCAAAAAAATCCCCAAAGATTACCAAAAAAAAAAAAATCCATTTACAGAAGTGCTCTTGAAACAAGAAAATTATGGTGGTGGATCAGAGAGTAGTGGTTGCCAAGGAAGAGGAGCTGGAATGGTGTATGGATATGGTAATAAAGGGGGAGCGTGAAGGGGCCCTCGTGGTGATAGAACAATTGGGACTCTTCACTGGAGTGGCAGTTATGGGAACTTCTACCTCTGATAAAAACCACAGACATGTAAACATACACAAATATGAATAACGTGTAACTGGTAAAATCCAAATAAATTCTGTGGATTATACCAATGTTAATTCGCTAGTTTCGATGTTATGCTATAGTTATGGAAGATATTACCACTAGAGAAAACTGGATTAAGTGTATACAGAAATTTTCCATATTTTTTCCTGCAAATTCCTAGGAATCTATAAGTATTCCAAAAAAAATTTTAAGTGACAAAAATGGTAAAAACATGATTAACTTAAAAAACTGAGGAAAAAATAACCTCTTAAAGTGGAATTTAAAGATTATTCCTCAACAATATTCTTATAATGAATTCTCTTGATTTCAAAGCCTGTTTTATGCAACATTACAGTACAATGTTTTATTGACATGGATGTTTATGTTACAGGTAAGATTTTTCTAGATGAAATTGGGTCCATCAATGTTCAAATTGTTCTAGGACTAAAGTAACAATTTTAGAATGGGGGTCGGTAGCTTATCAGCATAAAGATGCTCAATTCTGAATGACAAAGGCTCTGGGACCATGTCAAATACTAGTAGGATCCTTCTAAAACGGTTATTTTAAAAAAGACACCCAACTAATCAAATAAAAACAATAAAACAAATCTGATTTAACTTCTATTCTCAGTGATTTGGCTTTCTTAAGATGAGAGGTATGCACCGATCTACTTCTATATGTATGGTTACAGAGTGTACATCAAACTCAAACACAATGTGACGAACTGAGATTAAAAACACATGAAAGTAAAATAAAGGAACTCTCATGCGTTAACAAAGCATGAGTGTAAAAACCATAAGAAATGAAATTGTCTTATGTTATTTACATACGGCCTAGTCCCCAGGATGAACGTTGGGTGGAATCCTATTCTCTGAACAGGGCTGAAAGTAGTATTTGAATAGCAGATTTCTCTAGCAGACTTTTTTTTTTTTCCATCCTTAGCCTTGAAACAATAGCTAACTTTACGCAAGATTTTTGCAAAATGGTAGCGTGACAGTAACAGTGACTATTTTATTCTTGCAGAATTAGGATGCTTCACACAAGTGTACATTAACTCTTTCTAAAACCCCAAGTTCGTGAGCTCCTAATTAATGGATAATAATCACGGGCTATGGTACGAGTTGGGCTTTAAAAATTACAAGTCATTAAACGAGCAGAGAACATTCTACTTGTTTATCGGGATTATAAGCAGCAGGTCCTCAATGGTCAGGTGACCCTTTATGTAGCAGTGTAAGTCCCTGGGTTGGCAAATAGGTGGCAGATCTAGACAATTCCTCATGCCCCAAGATACAACCATAATTCTAGAACTGAAGACAGAGATGGTGTCTCAAAATGGAGAGGTCGAGGTGGCCCAGGCATGACCATCACCCTCCTAAAATATAGCCTTCCTAAGAATGTCTCCTAATAGAGATTATCTGTTTTCTTGTGATCTGCTTCCCCAACCTGAATGTAAGCCCCAGACCTAGTCTGCTTTCGGCACCGGTTTTGTGAAACTAGTTCGAGTAGGCTTCCTGGTGCAGAATAGGTGCTCAATAAATATCCGTTGACTAAAATACCTCTTCACCCCGTGACACTGCTTTTTTGGCAAAAAAGAAGAGTCAGTGGTAGACACGTTTCAAATGCTGATGAAAGCTGGGGGCCTCCCCTTGGGGAAAATATGTACAAAAAGACTTTTAAAAAATCTTCTATAGTTCATAGATCTCAGATTCAGCTATGCCTATGGAAATCCTTTTCAAGGATGAAGTCATTGTAAACACAGCCACTTTAAAAAATTTTGCTATTTGTTATAACATGATATTTTAGGGACATTAAGATCAAAGACAAGGATAATTCATAACATAACATGACATTAAGATCAAAGACAAGGATAATTCAGCTAATTAAAATAGTTCTATCCTATTTTATGGAGCGTAGAGCTAGTCCCTCCCTCCCTTTCTCTGTCCCCAACCCTAAGAAAGCCTTAGTGTACACTTAGCGTAATCTCATCAGCTCTTTCCTGCAGGCACTCCGAGTGGAATTTGAAGGGGAGAGGGGTTAAGTCACACTCGCACACACCCACAACCACCTGCCTATCGTAGGGAAAATGGTTCCGAATCAGAGGGGAGAAGCTTGTCCCATCACCATAAACAACAAACGACTCAAAGAAACCTGAAAAGCCACAGATGGCTAACTTTTTGTCAGAAGAGCTGTACTCGGTTGCCAGTAACGGAAGATGCCCAAGTGAATCTTACTTGCACGTTGAACTTCCGTAAAGAGAGGATCGATCACTATCCAATCAGCCGAGCTGTAAACGCGACCAGCAAAACCTGAATGGAAATCTCCTGCCCTCTGAACAGCTTCACAAAACCAGACACAGTGACGCATAAGCAACTAAGCAACTCTGCCACAGGAGGTGAAGGCGTTGCTATTTCTCCTGATTCACCAAGAGAAAGCTCATGGTGCTGCGAACAGGCCGGCGGCTGCAGTTCCAGTGGCCTCTGTGACCTGCCTCATCCGAGCGGCCGGTCCCAGGGGCCCCTCTGGTCTCGCGCAGCAGCCCAGCCGCATGCAGCGCCGTGTCCGTGGGGCAGGGCTGCGTGTGCGCCACACAAGCAGGACAAAGTGCCAGTGCACCGGGGACTGCAGTCCCAGCACAGCAGCAGCGTGGGGCCCACTCGCCGCCACGGAAAGACCGAGAGAAGCAAGAGTTGCCTGGAGTCAGGCTGCTCGCGTCGTCCTGCAGTCCTGGGGCAAAGAGCTTTAGCTCTGATTTTCCAGTGGCATCCCTGCCGCCACACACACGGCTTTCTTTTGTAATGGCTCCAGAATAGAGCAAAACAGCCGTGCTTGGTGTTTTTGCAACGAGAAGCCCTCCCGTGACCCCACCAAGAAACTTTTTCAAGGGTAACGGTTATAGAAATTGGTTTAAGTGCCTATTCCCGAAATCCCACACGCCAAGTCTTAGGTGTGCATGATTTCAATTGCATCAAGTTCCTTCCATTCCAAAACCTGGTTCCTAACAAAGATGAGGGATGGTTAAATGGAAATAATCGACAAAAACCGTATCTGCACAGCAGAATAACCAAAGCCTTGGGATACACATCATTAGCTTCTCTCCTCTACACCTACAAATGCTTTGAGACGAAAGCACAGGCGTAGGTTTAAGGAATACAGCCAGGAAGGCTCAGGGCAAAGCAGAGAGCAGGAGATGGCAGGAGTCACATAATTGAATAATGAAATTTTCTACTTATCAGATTTAAGTCATCCCGTATTAAGGAGAGCATCAACTATTACCAGGAAGGTTTCCAACTATGGAAAACCACCCAGGGGAAGAGGGAGCTGGAAAACTCATGAGGAAACTCGTTAAAATAATTAACTTTTTTCCTCCGTGTTTCACAAGAAGTTCCCCATTTTAGTTCGGGCAGTCGTTTACATCCAAATGGGTCAACGCTCTGCCTGTTTTACCTTCAAGGGTGTTTCCTCCTGCAACAAAACTTCCCTAAGAGCTGGCCCAGCGTTTGCTGCCTTGGTCCTTTGAGGGATAAATAAGAACACCGTCCGAGGTGGGAAGGCAGTGTGATCACAGGAAGCGGAGCCTGTGGCACGAAAGGGGGCCAACACGTTTGCCGTTGGAAAAACTGCCTGATCTCCTTGCGAGCCGCTTGCAGCAGCTGCGTTAGTCCGCGCGGACTGGCAGCGGCGCCCCAGGTGCTCGCAGGGCAGGTGCGTCCCTAGAGATGCCAGCTCCGCACAGCGCAGCCCCCGGGGCCCCCCAGCTAACCAGCTAGTTTGGAGACACCCGAGGATCCTAAGTCATCCCCCACACACTCCCCAGGGTGGGCATGGGGGGGGTGTCGGCCACTTTTGGGGACCCCGTGAACTGTCCCCACCGCACCTGCGCAGACCCAGAAGCCCCGGCGGCGGGGGCCCCGCATCCGTACCTATATTTCATGCCAGTCTGCTTCGCGGTGGACTCCTTGAGAGAAATGTGATGCTGGGGGGTGAAGGTGCCCAGGCTGCGCGCGATGATCGCGACCGTGCGGAACTTGGCCCGCGCGGCGTTCACCACATTGGGGGCGGCGGAGCTCTGCTTGCTCAGAAGTCGGTCCTCCCCATTCCGGCTCTTGAGGTTGTGCTCTGTGCAGGCTATGGAGACTTGCATCGCTCCCCCGGGCGCGCACGGCCCCGCGCAGCAGCCCGGCCGGGACGCAGGCGGTCACGGGAGGTGGAGCGGCCGCGGGGTCCGCGCTGCCCTCGGCGGGGGAGGGGGGGATGCGCCGTCGGTCGTCCGGGCTCACCTGGGAGCTGGGACAGGGTGGGGGGATGCACCGTCGGTCCTCGGGGCTCACCCGGGAGCTGGGCGCTGGGATGCACCGTCGGCGCTCGGGGCTCACCCGGGAGCTAGGCGCTGGGACAGGGCGGGGGGATGCACCGTCGGTGCTCGGGGCTCACCTGGGAGCTGGAGCTGGGCGCCGGGCGCCGGGACGGGGAGGGAGGGAGCGGCCGGGCGCGAAGTTGGCGGCGCAGCAGCCGGAGCGCGGAGCGGGCTCGCCGAGCTCCGGGGCCGCCCGCCCTCCCGCCCGCCCGAGCGGCCAGATCCCCGCGGCGCCGAGCCGCCCGCAGCCGCCCGCAGCCTCCCGCAGCCTCCCGCAGCCGCGCCGCCGCCGCCGCCGAGCGCGCGCAGCCCCGCCAGCGCCGGTGCGCCGGGTCCGGGCGCGGGCTCGCTCCGGGCGGGGGCTCCCAGGCGCGCGGGCTGGCGGCAGGACGCGGCTCCCTCGGGCCACGGCCGGGCGCTCCGCGGGCACGCCGCTCCCGCCGCTCCCGCCGCTGCCGCCGCCGCAGGCTGGTCCCCGGGGACCGCGCCCGGCTCAGCTCCTCGCGGGGGAGCCCGGGCTGCACGCAGGGCGCCGAGCGCGCGGGCAGCGACCACTCCCCGCCCCCCCCCCCCGCCCCCAGGCGCTCGCTGCCGGACTCCGCTCCGACCCGCACCGAATCCTGCTGCAGCTCCGCCGCGGGGGCGGGGGGCGGGGGGCGGGGCGGGGGGGGGGGGGCGGGGGGGCGGGGGGCGGGGAGCTGCTGCCCCAGAACGCGCGGGGGCATCGCACGTGCATGCGCGGGTCGGGCTGCCCCGACCCCTGCTGGAGACGCCGGTCCGCCTGAGCCCCGCCCAGGTCACGGCCCCTGCACACCTGCTCCCTGGGGGCGGGGGGTAGGGGAAACCACCCGTGCAGGCGCGGGCCGGGCTGCCCGGACCCCTGCTGGAGACCCGCCTGAGCCCAGCCGAAGTCATGGCCCCTGCATAACCCCGGTCGAGGTCGTGGCCCCTGCACACCTGCTCCCTGATGCGGGGGGGGGGGGGGGGGGGGGAGACCACCGGAGCATGCCCCTGCTGGAGACCCCGGTCTGCTGAGCCCCAGCGGGTCATGGCCCTGTACCCCCAGCGGAGGTCATGGCCCCTGCACACCTGCTCCCTGGGGGCGGGAGTGGGGGGGGCTTGAAGCGTCCTCAGGGCCACAGTACAGGCCCGCGGGACTCAAGCCCGCTAACTCGCTGGAGGATCCACCCCGGACCTCAGAGGACCGAGGAGTGGGCCGGGGGCAGCAAATTGGCACCAGCCAGTAGGAGCCACCCTGGGTGAGCAGCAGGTCTCCACCGGTACCCGAAAGGTCCAGGCCAGCCGGCGATGCCCAAACGCTGTCCCCTCCCTGGTCACCTTGGTCACCAGTGAGCAGCGAGACCTCCTCCTTGACTTTGAATCCACGGGAGGCAGACACATCTTGTGGGGCAGCGTCAGGTGCCAAGGAGCTGCTCCGTAAATGGGGCTGAACAAAACTAAGCAGTCGTCGGCTGATAATTTACCTATTTGAAATTCAGGGAAGGTAGACCCGTTTTATAGATACGCCTAATAGAATCGTGGCTTCTGCAAAGTCAGTTTTTTAAAGATTTTTATTTATTCATGGTAGAGGCAGAAAGAGAAGCAGGCTCCGTGCAGGGAGCCTGACGCTGAGCTCGATCCCTGGACCCCAGGATCACACCCCGGGCCAAAGGCAGGCGCCAACCCGCTGAGCCAACCAGGGATCCCCCAAAGTCAGTTTTCTAAGCGTGGTTCCCAACAGACATTGCTGTCCAGCAAAAAGGAACAGCGTTTAAATCAACAGTATCTGTGAGCACCACCTCTCTACTGGGCAATAGAGACATGGGGGAGAGGAAGCACGGTCCTTCCCCCTCAAGGAATTGGCAATCTGTGTGGGAAGGACAAAGTCTTAAAGGGGCTAATTAACAAGTCATGGGTGCATCAGCGTTCAGATGAGTGGTACAGACGCTAAATATGCTAGAGTTAAGCAGGGGAGTAATTCCAGAAGGCTACAGAAAGTTCTTTGATTCATTCCCCACATTTCTACTGAGTCTCTATTGGACAGCAGACTCCGCTTGCTGCTGGGGCCCAAAGACGGCTTAGAGGCTGGACCTCAAGGAGCTCACGGAAGCCTGGGCAGCCCTCAGAGAAGTGGGACTTTGCCGGAGTGGAAAGGGAGGTGAACCTGATGAACAGGAGAGGAGGGCGGTGGTCTTCCCAGGGGTTGGCAAGTGTGGGGAGAACACATGTTCTGGCTGTGTCTGTGTGCTTTAAGGAGAGAGGAAAAAAAAAAAAAAGCAGGTCTGACCACTTCTTCCAGCTAAATTAAGTTATAGGAATGAAAATTTTAAGTAGAATATGTGCTTATTTTGGATTCTACTCCAGAGATGAATCTCAACATTTTATAACCTGCAGGTAAGGTTTAAATCACATTGTGGAAGCTCGTCCTTTATTCTTCGTGACCTTCCCACTCCTTACTTTAGAAAGTGAGCATACTACCTACTGTTCAGTGGTGGAGAAATAACCTTAGGATGGGGTGGGGGTTGTGCAAAGGGACAGTTGATGTCTTCTTTTTACCCTTGGCTCCCAGGAGGGAATTCTTGAAGATAGCTGCGTTCCCTGGAATAAATAACAGTGGGCAGAGAGGAAGCACATCATTAGAACCTTTATGTTTTCACACTAAGCTGGCTCATCGGAGATGATCAATGTGAATCAAGAGGAGAGTCAAAATGAGAAGAGGAAGAAGTGGGAGGAATCCAAAGGAACAGCTCAGAAAAAGAGGAAACTAAAGCAGCCTGGGAGGCAAGGCACAGCGTGATCACCACAGGCCCAGAGGGGTCAGGAGTTTCCTTGGGCCCTGGCTGTGGGGGAGGACGTGCGAGAAGCTGGCTGAGGGCTGACGTAAGGAAGTAAGCGGCCTGCCGATTTCCAAGGGAGGGGTGGTGTGGGGGGTGCAGGAGATCTGCGCGCAGCTAGCCAAGACGGCTTTCGGGTTTCCCTGAAAGCATAACCAAAACCAGGTCGGGGAGGAGGTTATCAGAACAAAACAGGCTTTGTGGAGCACCTCCGAGTCACCTTTCCGTCCCCCACAGGACCAAGCAGAGTGCCTTATATAGAGCAGGCCCTCACTGTATGAATAATTGAGAGGGAGAGGGGATGGGAAGCAAAGGAGAGAAGGAGGCAGGAAGGGAGGTATATGGGAAGATGCCAAATTCTTGGATAAACTTGATTCCTTAAAAAGAAAAAAGAAAATCCTGCACGTTCTAGTTTCACACAGCCTGCTTACTTAAAGGGAGCCAATAATTGCCCCACATTCACATCGGCACCTCTTGTGTATTGAGGAGCATCCGCCTTTAGTCTGCCTCAAAGAGAATCAAAGAATGGAGACCAGAGGATCGCTTGCAGCGCAAGCCTCTTTCTTGCTGCCCACAGTGTGCCTCTTCAGATCCGATACCACGTAGGCTTTGACAGCCACCAGCAGCTGGGCGACTTACCCAGCTGTCCTCACCCTGCCCAGCATTAATGGAGCAGTAGGTCTCAGGAGTCTGGGAATTAGATAATGGCTGGCTGGGAGAACGCTCATTCCTAATAAATTAGTGCTAACAGGCCACATGCTGATTGCAGTAGGAAATGAGATAGGAATCCTGTTATTGTCATACAATAGGATTTTGGAACAGTTATTTCAGATTCAAATAAGACCCACAGATGATATAATCATAGATGTAGCTTTAGATGCAGATACAGAGGTTATGGATTAAATTGGGTCCACCCCCCCCCCCCATTCATATATGTTGAAGTCCTAATTCGAAGTGCCTCAGCAGGTGATGGTATAGGAGACAGTGTTTAGGGAAGTAATTGAGGTAAAATGAGTTATTCAGGCAGGCCCTAATCCAATGTGACTGGTGTTTCTGTGAGAAGAGGATATTAGGACACTGATACACATGGAGGGAAGATCCTGTGAAGATACAGGGAGAAGACAGCTTCTACAGGCCAACGAGAGAAACTGACCCTGCTCACACCCTGACCTTGGACTTCTGGTCTCCAGAATGACAATAGAAATTTCTTTGGTTTCAGCCCCTCAATCTATGGTATTTTGTTATGGCAGCCCTCACAAACCAGTACAAGTATATTGCTTTTTTTTTTTATTTTAAATACTTATATTACTGGTCAAGAGAATATTGGAACACTCTAGAGAAGATGCTCCTAAAAGCCATTATTAGACCACAGTGATATTATTGCACTACTCTATACAACCTGAGCCAACGTTATAAGTGTACTGCAAAGAAGAGCTCTAAATATAACTCCTATTTGTTCCATTCCACAAAGTTGTAAAAGCCTCTACAAGGCAATCCTTGATACAAGAAGTGATGGTTTAAGACATTTCTAGTACTCCCCCCCAACTTTTTTTAAAAAGATTTGAGAGAGCGCCCTGCCTGCGTGCAGGGGAGGGACAGAGGAAGAGGGAGAGGGAGAGCGCAAATCCCAATCCCGAGGAGACCCTGCTGAGCGCAGAGCCATGTAGAGCTGGATCCCATGACCCTGAGATCATGCCCCGGGCTGAAATCAAGAGTCAGTCACCCAACCAACTGAGCCACCCAGGTGCCCTTCCCTTATTAACACTCTCCTTTTTCTGCCAATTTTCCCTTTCAAGGGTTTGCTTTACAGGGTCTCATGTAACCAGCAACATTAGACGTGTCATGGGGTGGTGGCAAGAGACCTGTACCAGCAGACAAAGGCCTGGGCTCCAAACCCAGCTCTGTCGCTCTGCCTGTGACCTCGGGGGTCATCCTAATACTCTGCACCACTGTTCTCTCCTCATCTGACATAGGAGAGGGCTCCACAGATTCAGCAGGATGCTTTTGCAGAGAGCTGTGGAGGTTACAGGATCACGGAGAGCCAAATTAATCGCTTACTCTGCAATTTCCCCTGGATCTC